AACATTTTAATACCTTCTGTGGGTAAAAAAGAAAACCCGGCATCCAATGTTCAGTCATTAATTTCTTTTTTCTAAATCATTGAGTTTTTTCACATATTCAATATTTCTTACGTCACCCGAAAAAACACAAGCAATATCATTACTGACTGGATAAGAATTATCTTTGTTTGCCTCGTTATCAGTTTCTGTTAACATCGTTTGAATAGGTGCGGTTGGTTCAAAAGGTTTATTAATACTGCAATCAAATAATATATATATATATATATATATATATATATATATATATATATATATATATATATATATATATATATATATATATATATTCAGAAAAATAGAATAAAAATAAAGTTTAAGCGCGCAAAGATTTTTGTTACTTCTATTTATATTTTTGTGAAATTTTTGTATTATTATATTGATTTACGTTAAAAATAAGGCTACATCATTGGCTTTTCAGAAATTAATTTACAAATAATCTGTTTCTATATAAAATATTCTCTGTAGTTAAGAACCGTAGCCATTTTAAAAGTTTAAAAATTGTTCGCGTTTTCTTACGCACGCGTACCTAAACATAGCGCTTTTTACTAATATCTAAAGGACGGAAGGAAAATTTTGCGGTAACATAAAATATAAATGTTAGAGCAAAAAAAAAGCAGACCGAAGATTCTTTTTTGTTTAAATCATCTTAAAATCACAATTGCTCGTCTACATTTGAATAAGATTTTGTATTAACACGTTTTTTAGGTAAAATAAACATTATAGTTTAATAAAATGATCTATTCTGATCGTTTATTGGCAATTTTCAATAATTATAAGCTCTTTCTTGGTCGGAATTCTAGTACTTTTGTGAAAATTGATAGAAATATTGAGTTTCGACAACTATAAATAGTTAAAATACGTCAGAACCGATTAGAATTAGGATCAGTAGTAAATTAAGGAACTTTTTCAAAAGAATTCAATTAAATTCATGTTAATGCCGATGAGCGGAATTGATATAAAGACTCCAAAATAGTGTTATTTAGATTCACTATTACAGGTAGTAAAAAAAGTTTTAAAAATTATATAAAAAAAGAAAAGTTTCTTTGAATATTATAAAAGCCTGAAGCAAAAAAATTTATAACATTTAAAGATCTTATTTGGACATAATATGCTGACAAAACCATGCTAATTCCAAATAAAATTAAATCGCCTTAACTACACTGAGTGGTTGGTTATTATATTATCGACTAATTAAGAAAAATTTTTAGTTACTCTGGTCTTGATAATTGTTGGAATGAAACTCAAATAGAGCATCAACAATAAGTTATTATTAGACTTCAACAAATTAATGTTTATATTACCAACTGTGTAAACATGCTTCTGCGTATTATTAATTTTGTTTAAGAATGAGCTAAGATGAGTTTTATATGTTAAAAATTACGACCTGGTTGTCTATAAATAGTATTTATCATTAAGTTTTTAGAATTTTTGTTAACTAATTCTATGCATAATGACTCGCAATTAGCTTCATTCATACTAAGATCCTTAAGCAAAACAAAGTCGATTGAATAGTGGATATAAATACTTACTCCTCCATCCATCCATTCAGTCATTTCCCAAGTCTTCATTTTCTCGTAAACCGTAATTTCTTATGCTATTTCTTTTATTTCTGTCTTCAAACTTTCTCTTTTACTTTTAGCTCGTGACATAAGCTCTTTGCTTCATCCAAATTTACTTGCACGAAATCGTTTTATTTGAAACGTTTGCGATTTTGCTATTAGTTACTTTGTTTAGATCTTTATTAAGAGATGTAATTTATTTATTAATCAAAGTTTGTTCAGCAAACTCAATACTTTTCTGTAGGTCTTCAACAGTTTGTTGTAAATTTTTTGTTTTCTTTTTTCTACCAATGACAAACATTTAGTAATTGACTCGATCAATTTCAAGATTTTATCAATTTTTTTAATTATAAATAAAAAAATTGATAAAATCTTAAAACACAAATATTTCTTCTATCAGTTTATCACTAGCTGATTGTTCATTCGTTTCTATGTTACAGTGTGTTGTGTGTTACAGTGTGTTGTGTGTTGTGTGTTACAGTGTGTTGTGTGTTACAGTGTGTTGTGTGTTACAGTGTGTTGTGCGTTACAGTGTGTTTCTCAATATTGTAACAAGTAGTATTTTATAAATTGTAAATGAATTTTACAATTTATAAAATTTCTCTCATTTTTGCTTTTTAATCAATATTATTAATACTTCGAATATCTTGTTTTGTTAGAAAGAGGAATAAAATAAAATAAAAGACGAATAAAATTATTTTTTAATTTGTTTTTAAAACAAAATTTGTTATAAAACTAGCGGGTATTTTGTTTTTTGGAGGAATTAAATTACTCAACTTTATTTGAATTTTCATATGCACAATTTTCATCTTTTATTATTATTCAGAGGAACTTTTTATATCCTTCATTTAATGTCTACATTTTATGCCGGTTACTTTATTAAGGTCTTTGTGCGACGATTTTTTCGCAACCACACATTGTTCTATCATTGTTATGATTCTAGGTTTCGCGGGTTTTTCATTTTCCTTCACTTTTGATTGGTTATCACATTTCGAACGAGGTATCTATGACAGCGTTAGAGTTTATTTAAGGCTATTGTTGTTTTGTTGATTAAATTTTTTTTTTTTTTAATGAGGTATTCTGATTTCTGTTTATCTTTGGATTAATTATGCTATTAATACCTATCTGGTTTTAGATCTTAAATTGAATTTATTTATATTTTTATGTTTCGATTAGAATTTTAATTTATTGTGCTTTCATGTTTTCTTTCGGTGGTATGGTAAGTGATTTATTTAGTTATTTTTATTTATTTTTTACAGTTTATCTACACTTTTCATATCATATTTTTAAAAAACATTAGTGTTTCACAAATTTTGGGTTGGTGGGGTTTTGGCTATTTGTAGTGAGTCCTTTTTTACTGCAGTATGGATAAGGCGTAAGTCGCGGGGTAAAGCACAAGTGGCGATGACGTTTGTCTGACGGGATAAACTAGTTATAAGTGCTGATCCTCATCGAAACGCCTGTAATAATAGACGCGACTCTGAGGAGATGTTTATTACTTTATCACTACATAATTATGTTTACACATTAGCATTAATGTTCTTTTTCCATTCTAAGGCCTTACATTGCTATCCATATTTTTTGTTTTTGTTTTTTATATTTTTGATTTTGTTTTTTATTTCTAAGTTTTTTGTTTATCAATTTTTTGGTTTAAAAAAAAATTTTATTTTGGTTATATTTGTTGTATATCTTCGTACGTACTAGTTTTTTATATGATACAATTTTTTGTTATTGTTATTGTGAGTACTGCTTGGATGTGTTGTCTGTCTTACTTGTTTTGAAATTTTCCTCTATTAATCTTTATTTTTGTCTAGACAACTGTCAAAATATGCTTCGTTCGATAAATAATTCTTCTTTATTCTAATGTACTTCATTTCTTCCCTCGGGTGTTCACTGCTCGTGTGTGACCATTCGGCGAATTTTATATGCCAAAGTTTTTAAATAATTACTTTTTAATTTGTTTTTATAACAAAATTTGTTATAAAACTAGCGGGTATTTTGTTTTGTTAGTTAAAATAAAATAAATAAAGAATAAATAACTTTAAAATTTACCAGCTAGTTCTTAAATTTTCGAACATTTTTTACAATGTTTAGCAAAAACTGATATCAAATGATATTTTAATTGCATGTTTACCAAAGTTAAAGCTTGTGTACCTGTTCTACATTTTTAATTTACTAGGTATGGCACGGGACATACCTAGTAAATTAAAAATGTTTTGACACCAAAATAATTGGCACCATTGGTGCCAATTATTTTGGTGTTTGTAATTTTTAGACATAGGCTTTCAAACATAGAATTTTAAACTTCGGTATGTTTATGCTTATATCAAATAAGGATGCCTTGAAAAATACCGAAAAAAAAAACAAAAATACCGAAAAACGTGCCCCTGATTCCTAAACGTGAGAGCAACAAGTTAGTAAATTTTAATACACTAAAAAATGCTGGGGCAATCCTTGTTACGTCTTACATTTGTTATGTCATCGTTACATCTAAAATTTGTTGGTATACAAAGGAAACCAACTATGTCCAAAAATATCATTTTGAGATAATGAACAAATTGCGTAATGGTTTAAATAAAAAATCCTAACTCATTAATAATTAGTTTGTTAAATTTGTGTGGTATATATTGTTGGTTGGTTTTCCAACCAAATAAGATTACAAATAGGGCAAGGTTGTTTTTCATATAACAACTCAACAAAAAAACTTAAAAATTGGTAAAAACAAAAGTGTATTTACATCTTGCATTTTAAAATACCAATTGGTTTTTTTTTAATATTATGAACCCAGTTTTATATGCATAAGTTTATACGCATAACTTTTTGTGCTTAAAAAAACACCTCTGTTTTGATTATTTATAACGGATGGTGTCCTTCTAGTGTAACTTTTTTAAAACAATTTATTGCGACGTGTGTTTATTTTGTGTTACTGTGGTTAGAGTAGTTGTTGGTTTTTAAATTTTATAAAATTGGAGGCAGAAATCGCACTTCTTATTATCTTTATTTTTATTTTATTTTTTTACATTCTACATTCCTATTTACATAAGGGAACACGGGGCAAGATGGCTTACCTCGGTCACGTGACCAGACGACAAACATTTTGTTTTAACTTTTTTTTCAAACTTTTCTATTTGCAAACTAAAAATTGCAACATGCAATTGCAACATGCAATTGCAACATGCAATTGCAACACGCAATTGCAACATGCAATGAATCAGTATGATAACATAAACATACTGACAGAGTATTATTGCTTCATAACTGATAGTTTTGTAATAACTCAGGGCTTTCAAAATTTTCGCCATTATACCCCATTTTCCTCTATTGAATTATTTATATTAAATTATTTTCTCTTATTAAATTTTGTTTTTTTTCTAATAAATTAATGCTTTTTACATTGTATAGAAAGTCGAATGTCGGCGTCATGCATACATAAAATGATTGAGGCAACTAAGCATGTTTATGGAGAAAAATTTAGAAATAAAATTGATCATTCTGATGAACCCCCTGAAACTATTTTATCTAAATCACACACGGATGATGCAAGAAACATTTCAATTTTGAACAGGTTTGAAAATAAATTTTATTTTTCACATAATAATTTTTTTTCTCGTCCTTGACATAATTTTTGTGCTTAACTGCAAAAGGTTTCGGAACCAGATAAGAAAACTAAGCTATGTTTATGATGCCGAAAAACAGATTCTAATAGGTTTGAAAACTGTTGCTATAACCGGTAACGATTAGGAATTGGAAAATATTTGAAATAAAATTTTTATCAAAGTAAACAACTTATTTTACAAAAAAAGAATACTCTTAAGTATTTTTTTCATTTACGTCATGTACAACAAACGTGAATTAAAAAAAAAATCTCATCTATTATTTTTTAACGCGGAAAATTAAAAAATACAACCCCTTTAAAAATATCAAGTATTACTTCAATATTTGAAGGAAAATTTTGATAAAACTATTAAAATTTTATTATTTAGTTACCAGTTTATAGTTATATTTAGTTATAGAAATCATAAAAAATTAATAGGGACGGGAATTATAAACGGGGGTCAAGTTGGGTCTGTTTCTATTTTTTAAGTACTGTAACTTAAACAATTTTTATAATAAACATAATATATATAATTTTATAATTTTTTGCAAAATTTAAAATGTAATCATGAAGAGTAGGAATTAGATTTAGGCATTAATTATAATAGATTTTTGGGGCCCTTCTAGCGCCTCAAAAAAAAAAAAAAAACCCTTTAATTCTGCTACTAAGCAGAATCGACGGATTCGCCCCAAACGAATTAACCGTGCCTTAATTTAATTAGACCTTATCTATAGTTATCTAGTTTAATGAACTTAATCTTATATCAAACTTTAAAATATACTTTTATTTATTTATTTGGAATCTATATGTTAAGCAATTATATAAAGTTTAGTGAGTTGTTTTTAATGATTTTTAAAATGTCAACTCAAATTTTGTTGCTGCTTCATGCTTTAAATATTTCATCTGACGTCATTGAGTCAAACAATTTATTCAAATATCGAGTTTCAAAAACTATTTATATTAGAGCTAAAAATTGAAAACCCGGCGGATAAAAGATATCTAAATAACACAAGACGTATTTTAAACGTCTAAACGTGTTACTGCGTATTTTATTTGTCTTAAACGCGACCTTTTACCCAATAGTAGCGGCTAGCTCAGGGGTCGTCCATAAATTACGCAACGCAAAACTTATTTTCAAAATACAAGTAGGAGATCATTTTTCTCTTTTGCGCGGCGGTTTTCGCCGGACTTTAAACGTTGTTTAAATACTTAGTTTAATTAATAACTCTGCGAGGAAAAACTTTCAATGTTTTGTCTTTTGTCTATATGTTTGATCTCGCGTTACGTAATTTATGGACGAAGAAAAAGAAAATCTTTAGTATTTAAAAAAAAAAAAAAAAAAAATTTAAATAATACAAATTGTTTAAGCAAAATTAAAGGAATAAAAAAAACTTTATTTAAATTATATAATTATATATTTATTAACCATAAGCAATAATATATATATATATATATATATATATATATATATATATATATATATATATATATATATATATATATATATATATATATATATATATATATATATATATATATATATATATATATATATATATACACTAGTGATCAAAAGTTTAGACTCAGAATAAAACTTATAGTTTCTTAGTGATTTGTGATTTAAAAAAATGCCTTTTTTGTTTTGTTTTTAATTTTATTTTTAATCCAGTTTATTATTTATGAAATTCTCTTTAATATATATAAAAGACTTGAAAAGAAAAACAAGTTTAAAGTATTTTATTTTGAAAATAGCAAAATCATGTAAAAAGATATCTATAAAAATCTTGTTCATAAGTTTAGACTCAGGACTTTTCACTTTAAACTGTAAGTCAAGTTAATAAGGTATGTGACCGCCTTTGTTAGCTATGCAAAGTCTACATCTTCTTTTAATAGATTCAAAAAGATTTCGACAATATTCAAAGGACAAGCCATCAAACAACTCTTTTAAACTTTTTCGTAGTTCTTCAGCTGAAGTTACAGGAGCTTTGGTCAGTTTTCGATCAAGCACAGACCATACATTTTCCATTGGATTTAAATCTGGCGATCTAGCTGGCCACTGGAGTAAATTGATTTTATTTTCTTTAAACCAAGCTGTTACTGTTTTTGCTTTGTGACAAGGGGCATTATCTTGCTGAAATTTCCATTCTGGCTCATCTCCAAAAAATAAGTCTCTTGTTGGAATCAAATTATTTTCAAGCGTCTCAATGTATCTGTATTGATCCATTCTACCAGTGTACAAGTAGCATAGTCCGGGTCCATCATACGTGATACAACCCCAGATCCCAACTGAACCTCCTCTGCCCTGTAACCGAGGTACAATGAAACGATTATGAAACTTCTCATTATGGTGTCTTCGAACAGTTACTCTTTTTTTTCGATTAACGACTGCATAATTCGATTCGTCGCTGAATACAATTTTTTTTATATCACTATCACTCATCTTAAGAATTTTCTTGCAAAATTGTAGCCGTTTGAGTCGATCTGATCTTTTAAGCATTGGTTTTCTAGCAGCAGTATACGAGCATAGTTTACGATCAATTAATCTTCTATTTACTGTCTGCCTTGAGATGTCATTTTTAAGAGCTAGATTTATTTCTTGAGCAATTTGTTTGGCACTATACTTAGGATTTTTTCTGGCAATTCTGTATATACTATTATCATCAGTGGTAGTTGTTTTTCTGGGTCTTCCGGATCTGATTTTATCTAATGTGCTACCTGTTTTTTTCCACTTAGCTATTGTTTTAGTGGCACATGACTGTGATACGTTCTTGAGAATCAACTGAACTTTTCTTGTAGAATTACCAGCAAGGTGCAAGGTGATAATTCTTTCTTTGATTTCTTTTGATACTGATGTTTTACCCATTTTCTAAATATTTTAAATGCAAATAATGAGTAAAAATTGTATATTTTGATTAGCGTGCACTAAGTTAGTAAATAATTTAATTTTTAAATGGATTTAAACATAATATTTTAGAAAATATATTTTGATCCATGTTAGAATTACAATCTTTAAAAAAAAAGGTTAAGCACTTATATGGAAATAAAGATAGAAAAAGTGAGTCTAAATTTATGAGACACATTTTATTTGTTTTTAAATAGCGCTATTATTATAAAGTAAAAAAAAAGACCAATATATAAAATAAAAGGTGTGTGTTTTTTGTAATTATGTTAGAAACAAACTAAATAAGTTAAATTAAAAAAAAAAATTTCAAGCATTATCTTAATAAATTTTTATTAGCATTTTCAGAGCTAAGCTTAAGAGATTTTTTTTCTGAGTCTAAACTTTTGATCACTAGTGTATATATATATATATATATATATATATATATATATATATATATATATATATATATATATATATATATATATATATATATATATATATATATATATATATATTAATAAAAATATAAATAATATATTTGACAAACAATATCAATTTTTTAAAGAATTACTTTATTTATGAAACTTTGATAAACAATTTTTTTGTTTAGTATTGCTTCTAGTAACTATTGCCCTTCAATAAATGACAGATCAATTTATTTCTCTGTCGTCGATAATGACGGAAACGCTTGTTCTTTTATAAATAGTCTTTATCATTATTTTGGAAGTGGTTTGGTACCAGAAAATTGTGGTTTTGCTCTCCAAGTAAGTGATATTTGTTTAAAATTAAAAATTGATAAAATTTCAATAAACATCTGTGACAAACTCAGTTGATAAAACCCAGTTTTGGGACTCAATCAAGGTGAATAGGGGCACAATCGTCATTTTCTAAAAAAAATCGTCTTTATCTAGAATTTTCTAAAAAAAGAAAAAAAAAAAAGTCTTTTAAAATAAAAAATTTAAAAAAAAGGAGGGGGGGGAAGGAGGAGGGAGGGAGGGGGGAACCAACGACACCGAGAGCAAAAAATCTCTAGAGCTTTGTATATAAAAGATTTTTTTTTAACTCCATACAACGCACCGAGTACAACCCACCATACGCCAAGTACAATCCACCAAGTTCTATCATATCAACCATACAACCCACTGAGTACTATCACATCAACCCAAAAAGTATTACCACATCAATCATGTAACCCACCAACTACTATCACATCAACCCATTATTAAAATCCACCGAGTACTGTCACATCAACCCATTAAACGAGCTATTGAAATGAAGTTTAAAATTTTTATCTCGCAATCAGATTAAAGTCGTTTAATAACTGTTTACCAAACACAATATTCAATAAAAAAGAAGTTAAAAAAAGTTTTTTCCTCGAAATGCAAAAAGAGTTAATAAATAATAGATCTAAAGAGAACAAAGTGCAAAAATAATGAACAAACGGGTTGCATTTAAACATTAATTAGTTACAAGCTTTAGGTAACATTTTGTTAATGTTTCTCTAAAAGGAATACTGGTTAGTTGCTCCTCGTTATTACTTTATTATTTATGAAGGACCTGGTGCCTAAGTGTGTTAAAATATAAATCGTTAAAATATTATTTTAGTTAGCATTTGTGTTTTTCTTCATATTGCAATACAAAAAATTATCCTTGATATTGAGGATGTAAGTTAAAGTCATTATTAACTATACATTACAATCTACCCTAATTCTGATTTTTTTTAAAGTTTGAACTATTTTTTATTTTTACCTTTTAGTGTAGAGCCATGGATTTTTCTCTCGATGAGAAACATTTCAATTGCGTTGCTCCAGAAAAACTCCCTCATCATGCTACTATCCCAGGGATAGCCACATACGGACCTGACAATGATTTTTATGCATGTTTTGGTCTAATTGGAGGTTACATACAACCGCAAGGTCATTTACAGGTATGATAGTTTATTTGTGATAATTAAGGATTTCATTCCATTTAAGGTATAAATTGATCATTGATACAAGAAGTGTTTCTTTGATTCAATAATTAATAAGTATACACATTGAAAATTTAAAACATTTTATAACTTTACCTCTTAGCTTTTGTCAAACCTAATTGACTACAATATGACTCCTCAAAGCGCGTTGTGTTACCCCCGTGTTAATGTAAGTTTCAACTACGATGCAGCTCCTATTGTTAACATTGAACAAGGAATCTCTGAAGAAATAGTTAAGCAACTAATAAAGCTTGGTCATAAAGTTGCTATTGTTTCTGGGATTGATCGAATTAAATTTGGTCGTGGACAAATTATTCAGGTTCAACATGACGACCAAGGAAATCGTGTATATTGGTGCGGGTCAGACAGTAGAGCAGATGGGTGTGCGATAGGATTTTGATTTATTTGAATCTGTTCTGTGTATTTTGATATGGAACATAAAACAAATCTTTTAACAATAGTTATTAGCCGCAATAGTGGTAACAATAATTAACTAAGAAAGGGAATTAATTAAAGTTTCTTTTTACTTATAAAGATATAGTACAACTTTATAGCTTTTGGTTATTTATGTACATTTGTTTTGTTATGCGTTTACTTTTTGTGATTTTTTTGTGTTTATGCTATCTTGTTTCATAAATTTCTATTTTTGTGCTGTACGCACAAATATTCTTGATTTATTTAAGCTTATTCCGCAAATTTGAAATAAACTTAAATTAAAAAAAAAATGTTAATTTTTTGAATTATTATAACAACCAAGTTTGTTGTGTGTGTAACGATTGACTAAAACAGGAAACACACTGAAACCTAAATAAAATAAAATTTTTTGTATTAGAATACCCGTTACTATTCCAGTTCAAAACCGAAGCTGAACCAAAGCATTCTGGTAAACATTTTGCCGAAACATTTTTTCACGACTTTTTTCCATCTTATATAGCAATAATAAATTATTATCCATTTATTTAGTAATTCATCAATTAATTAGTAATTAATTATAAATATTAGGAAAAGTAAAATAACTCATAAAAAAATATATAAAAGTATCTAAAAGCCTATAACCACGAAATATTATGCTTATTTACTTTCTATTTAAACAATTTAAATAAATAAAATTTGATTTTTTAACCAAAACGTTGATTACTATGCGTGTAAACTAATTATCTGAAAGATAATTTAGATACTTTGTAAGCACTTTGTACAATTATAATTTTAATTTGAAAATTTTTTGTCAACGTCTTTCAAAAAAAAAAAAAAAAAAATAGGTGTTAAACGGGCAGGTTATGGATTTATGCTGTTCAAAAATAAATCCAAAACCTGCCTTTGTTTATGAACCCTTTGTTTCCAGAAATACTGAAAACTTTAAATTTTGTTATATTGATACTGGTATCAATTAAGAATGTTTTACAAAAAATTATAGTGATCGGAGCCTAGAAACAATATACGTCTGAGAAATAGACCCACATTTTGACCCTCTGTCCCAAATGAGAAACTTTGAAAATAATAACTTTTTTTTGTAGTATCTTAAAATAGATCGAAGTTCATCGAAAAAATTAATTTATCTAAAAAATATTTCTAATTGTTTATAAATGGTCAACAAAAAAAGTTTAAGCCCCCTCTATTTGAGGGCATTATATGAGAATGGTTTTAACGACATAAATTAATGTTTACATTTATATTTATTTCCATTTACAATCAAAAGATACACTTATATGTTATAACATATTATATAGAAAAGTATTTTAAATTATTTAGTTTTAAAATATTGATAATTTTCTAAAGATATAAATAAGATTCAGCCACGTTTTCTGTTAAGCCAATAATGAACAATTTGTTTACGTCACCATCTTTGTATTTTTCATTACCTATTCCTTCTTCATAGCAAAATTATTTTTTTTTTTGACATTATATTCTGTCACTTTTTTTATAATCTCAATTTTTAACAAGATTCTAAAAAAACGCCTATAACATCAATGCTCAGATTTAGAATGTTTTGACAATTTTATCTCTTTTATTACTGTCTTAACAAGTTCTTTAATGTTTTTACAATAAACCAATTGTCTCAGTCAAGTCCGGAATTTTTTTCAAAAATTCTTTATACAACATCAAAATAATTTAAATTTACATGTTAAATTTTCTCTTCTCGTTGTTAGAGTGCAAGGGTGGTGTTCTACTCTTTCAATTAAAATCCTGCACCTTTTACCTACATTGTTTCATGTAATGATGTGACTACAATGATGTTACCTACATTGTTTCATGTAATGATGTAAAAATGTCTTTACTTTTCCCAACTTGATTTTACTTCTATTTTTAGATGCTAATCTTGAATTGTAGTTTGAGAAATTTAGCACAAGAGATTGGTTTCTAGTAAGAATATTAAATTTGAATTTTGAGAAACCATTTTCAGAAAAATCAGAATAATATTGTTATCTCCTTTTTCAATTCTTTCTAAAGCTTTTCTACATTTAGTTCAAATGCTATTAGGAAAGTTTTCATTATTCAAACCAAATGGTTTCAAAAAAAACTTATGTATTCTGTTCAATGTCACATATCCTTCTTTAACATCTGTCATTCCTGATCTTTTTGAAAAACAAATTAGACAGACTAAGGCTCTATTAACTTTAAGAGATATTTTAATGTTTGGCATTTTGAAACGATATGTGAAATTGATAAATAATACTGATTAATTTTTAATATGTTTTTTTAACCACTGCAATAGATTAAAAAAAAAGTTCGTAATATAAATTTTCTTGCGGTATATCACAAGGAAGTAGACAAAACAAAGAAATGTTATTTATACATTTAACTGTAAATGTAAACGTTACTTACAGTTCCGGTTTATCGAACGGACACACTGAACTCGTGCCGGGAGGCCATGGAGTTCAAGAGGCCAGAGGAACTAAGTGAACTTTTGAAAGATATATAATTTGTAAGAAAAATAATATTGGCTCCTACCCTTGACTTCTTCTCATGTGCCAAGGATTTTTAATCTTTGCAATAACAGCGCATACGACGTATCGCAAACTTATTTTTACGTTTTTTTTTAACAACTTGAACAAACTTTTAAGTTTGAATTCAAAATGAAATGCGTTTTGATGAGTCTTAAATTAATGTTATTTTTAAGGTTTGTTCGTGTATAATATTATATATAACTATATTATATATAATTACTTGTATTTGTTGATAAGACATTTGTAAAATGTCGATATTATTTTTATTTTCAGTAACAATCTATAAATACTATTTATTTACGACTTTTATTGTTCAGTTCGTTGTTTAAACTGTTTGTTTTTGGTATAAAATTTTAATTTAACTGCAAAACTTAAATTTACGTTTATCATTTTTTTTTTTTTTTACAATGAGTTATTCGTTAAAAAAGTGGTATTTATCTGATGGGATGTTGGGACTTAGATTACGTATTAATTATTTATTTAATTTAATAACTAAATATTATTATAAATAATCAAGAATAAAATAAATAAACGAGTGAGCAAAAAAGTCTAGTTAAATGTCAAAGAGAAAATCTGGAGGAGCTCGTCGCATAGAAACAGAAGAAAGATAAAAACGAGGAGATGAAATTCTAAATTACCAAAAATGATGAAGGTTTGAATGATGAAGGTTTTTCTCTCCTATTCAACCAAAAGATATAAATCATTGTTTATTATGTCGTTTAATTTTTAAACGACAATTGAATCTAAAAAAGTTTTTAAAAAATCAGGAAAAATATCGCCCTTTATGCAAATCACTTCCTTCTCCAGTTCTTAATAAAACTCTAAATGAAAATGCCAACACTTTGCTCCACGAATCACAGGAAGTGGAGACGCAATAGCGCGTTTATTCTCTACATAGTTCAAACGGCCCTCGTGATGACCTAATGTTCAAACAACCCTCGTGATAACCTAATGTTCAAACAACCGTCGTGATGACTACGCTAAACCTAAATCAAATAGTAATTAAAGCAACAACAATTTCAACAGTCTTGCTAATTGAAACAATGAAAATATGGAGTTGATCGACCATATCTTGTCAAATACATCCAAAATAAATAAAGAAAAATGGACCTCTCATCATCAGAATACTGTGATTTTGGGGGCTTTCGTCGAGCTCATTCAAACCTGTTCTTCAGATTGGTAAATAATGAAGAAAGAAAATATTTATGCTATTGGCATTTTCATCTCGGAAAAAGCAGTCAAGGGAAGGATAGATTTGGTGTTTACCAAACAATACCAGACTGAAAAAGAGTATTGTACCCAAGCTCTACGATGAACTATCGAAGTTATCAAGCATCTCTCTTCTAGGTTTGTGCTTCATATATAGAAAATTTTAATATATAAATTTAAATTAATAGTTATAAGTACTTAAATTAAATCGCACTTATCACGTGATTTCACTTATCACGTAATGATGCTACTTAAATATTTTTCAAAATCGAAAATAATTTGATATTTTATATACTGTTCATTCTCAGAGGTTATCATTCCGCGAATCAGCTGAAAAACTATCGATACACAACGGAAACTTTATTGGATGTATTGAAACTTTATTGGATGTATTGAAACTTTATTGGATGTATTGAAACTTTATTGGATGTATTGAGCTACTAGTAAAATTCGAGCTTTTCCTCGTTTAACACTTGATTACACATGAAAACAAAGGAAAACAAAATACCTTGTATTTATCTAAAGACATTTGTGAAAAACTCATACACTTGATAGCCGCTAAGGTTATGGAAGTTATAGATGTTACAATCATACTTAAGTACTTTGTTGTAGTATACATTTTTTATTTACTTCAAACATAATTTCTTAATTAGCATAATCAAAATTGTAAAATATTTCTCAACCATTGTTTATTCTACTCCCAATGACTCTCACATTGACCAACTCTTTATTCTGCCTTATGTTTTAAAAAACGGAGAGCCAGTTAAGCGGTTCTTAGCATTCATTCCCATGCAAAATCATTTTAAAGTTTCTATGCTTGAAGTTGTTTTAAAAAAGTTAGATTTGTATGGGATCAACATTCAAATTTGCCGTAGCTAGTTATATGACAATGACAATAATATGTTTGGAATCTTTTTTGGTTCACAAGGAAGAATGAAAAAGATCGACGTTCTTTCCAAATACATTCCATATGACCTAGTTAAGCTGACAACCCCCAAATAGGGTGGCTTCAAACATTAAGATATTTTTTTTAGATAAATTAATTTTTCCGATAAATTTCAATCTTTTTTAAGATACAACAAAAAAATTTTTTTTTTTTACTTTACGCATTTAGGACAGACCCTATTTTTCAGGTTTATATTGTTCCCAGGCTACAATCACTTTGTAAAGCATTCCTATTTGATAAAAGTATCAATATTACAAAAAGGACACATAATAACATTAATAATATATATATATATATATATATATATATATATATATATATATATATATATATATATATATATATATATATATATATATATATATATATACATATATATATATACATATATATATATATATATATATATATATATATATATATATATATATATATATATATATATATATATATATATATATATATATATATATATATATATATATATATATATATATATATATATATATATATATATATATATATATATATATATATATATATATATATATATATATATATATATATATTTATATATATTATTGACCTTCACACACATATGCACACACACACACACGCACATAAATTTATTACAAGATAATAATTTTGCAATAAAAAAGTTTTTTTTATGACTTTTATTTTATATAGCATTTTATTTTATGCAATAGTTTAATAATGCTATAGGTAATAAAATTATGCTATAGGTAATAAACAAATAAATAAGTTAAACTAGATCTGCTACATCACGTTATGTTAAGAGTAGTTAAACAAGATTACCGTAAAATTCACACAATAAGTATGCTGAAAATAGTAAAAGTTATATAAATGCGACTTTGAAAATGCAATAAACTTTAGTGAGGATTGATGTTGGACATTAAACTTGGAGAATAAAACTGATATAGAAAATTTATATCAGATATATTGAAATCTTTCAACACATTTCACAACTCCTACTTCTAAAATTAAAAGCTTATAGAATAAATGACTAACTCTACAATTGGATTTTAATGTTACCTAAAAGATCGGCATTAGAGTATCATTGTTGGTGGTACATACTCAGAATGGATAATAGTAAATAGTGAGGTCCCTCATTATTTACTTTTATGATATACAATAAAGATTTTTCTGATTTGGCTTTGATGTTGTATCTGTATTTACAGATGATACTAAGTTATACAGTTTGCTTTTTTATAGCTCACCATGCAATAACCTGCAATAAAGTATGGACATTATAGCAAACTGGGCAAAACTATGAAAACTAAGTTTTAATGTAAAAAAAATGTAAAGTTATACTTTTAGGACCAACAAATACAAAATTTTCCCTTAGGACAAACAATGCCCTAAGGACCAATAAATACAAAATTCATTTATAATATTGGTTGGTAAAAATCTCAATACTTCAATTAATATTAAAAACTCTCTCGTCAATAAAGGGATCTTCATTGAAAGTAATTTGACTTTTATTTTGTAAGTACTAAGAATAACACCGCCAATAAAGTTGTATGAATGATCAAAAGATCATTTGTCAATCTCAATATCTTGACATTTCGTACTTTGTTTATTTTCCTTGTTCGTCCTCACCTTGATTCTTGCAGCTCTGTCTACTATCCTAGACTTTAAAAAGATCAACAATTAATTTAAAATGTTCTATGCTAGTCTAGTAAATTTATTTTTGGCCAGACTGGACTCACTTACAACCAATGACTACTGAGACTAAATTTAACTAGCATGAGCTATCGTTTCTTATGCAATGACATGGCAGAAACTTACAAATACATTCACAATCTTTATAAGTGTAGTTGTAACCCTTTTGTTTCCTCATAAAATACCATTCAGTATTTTATCTATCAACACCTGTGTTAGAATGATGTCATCTGCACAGCCATTATATTTTTTATTGTAATTATAGACCATCAAGTAGTTAATCTGAGTTGTAATAGCATGCGTGTTAATATGGCCACTTCTTAATAATATATGATTATATATTTAGTTAATATTTATTCAACTCCAACTTAACAACATGCGATCATGCTTATAAATTGAAAAAAATGTTTTGTAAGACAAATGTCCTGAAAAAACTTTTCAAATATGGAATTCACAAATTTGTAGAATAGTCTACCATCTGAAATAGTGTTCAACATCTGTCACGACATTAAAAAAACATCTAGATGAATCTTGGGTTCATTAAATGTACAATTGCAAAATGGTAAATATTTACTTGAGCATCAAGTTGTTTATCTTCCTTAATGTCATATTTAAATAAGAAAATATTATCATAGAAACCTTTCCAAACTGCGCAAACTTTAAAATTCACTTTTTTTTACTAACCAATAATTAAACCCTACTTGCAATAAAAAAGCGATTACATTAAACATTAAGAAATGAATCTCAATAGTTAATCTGAAGTTTTTTTATATCATAAATTTATTTGTGATTATTTTTTAGCTGATGTACCGTTAAACTGAAGGTAATAAAGTTTACAAAATTTGCTCTGGCTGAATTTTTCAAAGAAAAAACTATGTGTGCCATTAATGTAATCTGTTTTTCATGGGGTATCAATGAAAGTTTGGTGTATTGGCCAAATCACTTGCAAGCATCTTGCTTTTAAACTGCCATATGTAAAGTCACACTTTTAAAAGTAACTAAAAGCAGCTGAAAATAAGAATTTTTTGGTAATAGTCTTATTTACAATATTGTTTTTGTTTTATTTACAGTACTGTCTTTGTTTTTTATCTAAACAGCTATGTTTGACTCAAATATAGTAAATGTTGATTGTTTATTATGGTTTCATTTCTTCTTCATACTTTTTTTTGACAGTTATATAACTGCTTTAGAACGGAATTATCTGTGCCTCCAGCTTAAAAGGATGCAGGTTACAAAAAAAGTGACACTGATGAGATAGCCTCTCAGTTTCTCAAAGATTGAAAAAATCTTTAGTGTTTTAGGGTTAAGTGATTCCATCAGAGCTTTGCTTGACTATCTCTTTCGATTTATTAAATTTATTTGTCGATTTAGATGAAAAAAGATCTTCTAAACCTAGAAGAAAAATTATGGAACAAAGACACCTTATGAATCAATATATATCAGTGAATTGATATTAGTTAATAGTTTTTGGAAACAGTACCATGTACTATTAATATTTCTAATTTTTAAAATATATAATGCATTTATATGAAACATACAAACAAATGATACAATATGATACGTGATTGACTATAATTATGTTGTATATCAAAATGTTTTATATAAATGCTTATTACATTTTATTGTGATTTTTATCTTTTATGCCCAGTTAGCAATTTATTTTGTGTAGCAATGACTACTAATCTCATATATCTATGACATCTATAGGGTGTATTCACCGCTACAGATGTCATAATCTAATTATAACCAATTGCTTTTACTCTTCCATAATGTCATATTTTAATAAGAATCGCATTATGGAAAACCGTCTAATACATACACATGAGGAACCATTATACTTTTAGTACAACCAATTTTATTACATTTGTTTTCTTATTTTAGATGAACTTTCTTACTTCGGTTGGAGGAGATGAGAAACAACTTTCCGCGGCAATCTTAATACAGCTAATGGCCAAAGAAGTATGTTTTTCATAATCAGTGTATGGAATGAAACAAAAAACGTCCTGCTAGGTCATTATAGGTAAAGCACAATATTTGTATTCTACATCCCATTTCCTTTTAATAAATAAATATTTTAATAAAAGCTAATTACTTTACAATATTTATACGTGAAAAGTTATATATTTCAAAATTATATTGTGATGATATTTAAAAAACATTTTGTAGAGTTGTGTTTAGTCGTTTATCGTTGTATTCGTTCATTTCGAAATCGCTACTGACAAAAGTATTAAAGAAAAAATTGGCAGCTTTCTGGCGACGGCCATTAATAGAGATTACAGAAGAAAAATAGAACCGTAACTGAGCAACGCCCAATATTGAGCAATGAAATAAGTATCGCCAATATAATGAAAGTCGGTGCCCACTATCTCATAGTGAGAGTATAATACAGTAGTTAATATATATATATATATATATATATATATATATATATATATATATATATATATATATATATATATATATATATATATAATATATATATATATATATATATATATATATATACATATATATATATATATATATATATATATATATATATATATATATATATATATACATATACACATATTTTTTGTACGTGTATTTAAATAAAGTTGATTTTATTTTGTTATATTTTGGTTTTGGAAAACTCTATACCTCTTTTTTTCATTTGTATCTGTTTCATATAACTTCAAATAAATTTAATGATTTCGATTTTTTCTTTTCTTAAAGCGTGTTCTATGATTATTGTCATCTCCTAGACTATAACCTGTTTAACTCAAAAGATTAATGCAGCCTAGTACTATAGTATCACTTAAACAAGAAAACTGTTAGTAATTTTAATTATTATAAATTTGTAGAAGGCAATATTTTTTATTATTTTTTAATAATAAAAATTTAATCGAAAATACTTAATATATTGCCTTAATTTAGTTATATATATTATATATATATCAGGATAATATTGTAAAATTAGGCCAATATTGGCAGTATAATATCCCCATTATTGGCGCGATATTATTTACAATGTTGGTGCAATATTATAAACTATATCGGGCCAATGTTGCAGTGTGAACATTTTGCCAATATTGGCCAATATTGACTTTACAGTATTGGGGCAATATTGTATAGCCAATATTGACTTTATAATATTGGCGCAATATTGTAGCGCCAATATTGGCCAATATTGGCAAAATATACACACTGCAACATTGGCCCGATATAGTTTACAATATTGCGCCAATATTGTAAACAATATCGCCCTAATATTGCGCCAATATTGTTTGCTACTAGGGTTGTTAAACTGTATAATAGAGGGTTTTCGGACTTTTATAATTTTTTAGAAAAATAATTAAATATTTCTAAATAATTATTTATTCATAGGTAATTTAATCTTTTTAAAAAGTAATTTAATCTTTTCAAAAAAGTAATTTAATTATTTTTTTTTTAAATTTTGATTAAAAACACTTAGGGGAAAGCGGTGGTATACCCCTAAACCTAGCATGTGACTATTTGAGTCTTTACGAATCAAAGGATAGTACCCATTAACACTGACATTTGAAGAAGGAATTGCGAATTTAAATTTGTTTCACTGAGTGCAAGCAAGTCTGGTGAATTTTGCAGGAGGTAAGACTCGACTGATGGAAAGTTGCTTCGTAGACCGCGAATATTTGTAAAAGATATATTAAAATATTTAGGTGGTGGGGATGGTTTTTTAGGTTTTAAATTTTTGCTTACTTTGGTCATGATTTGGGTTTAATGAGAACTTGACTCATTCATAAATAGAGCACAGCCTCCTAATCAATGAGCTATGCAGTTGTCTCAGTCCTGTTAATTAACCCTAAGCCGTGACATAGGGCTTCTTATCTGGCCTTGACAATGCACACTAAAAGCATTAACAGGGACACCATCCATGTGCAACATGGCACTGTTAATACTCTGATATTTTGCAGCTGTTGATGGAGTCAGCCTCTCTGAGAGCTACCACAGAGTTCAGGAAACCTTACTACCAGCCGGCCTCAGAACCATTAAACTGAGTTTTAGAGCTGTACCCTCATATGGAGATAAAAGAAAGAGGTGCATAGCCATTATCAAGGAGGCATAAGCAAAATTCTATGGGTAGAGTCAAGGAGATCCAGCATTCATCATCCTAGCAGGAAACAATGTAACACAGGTTACATCTACGCCAGCCTAATAGATGAAGAAAGGGTTCGAGGCTGGTTAGCAGAAATTTTCTGCTTACCCCTAAAGTCTTTGCCTAAGAGGCCTTCTACAAGACAGTAGCTGGATGAAGTCATCTGCCCAAGATGAGTATTTTTATCGAGACACCATCTCTAGCCTTTACTCAACCAAGAGCCCCAAGGCAGGGGATGTTTAGCTGGATGCAGTTAACATCTGCCCAAGATGAGTGTTTTTTTTGAGACACCATCTCTAGCCTTTACTCAACCAAGAGCCCCAAGGCAGGGGAACTGGTATCACGTAACCCAGTGGTACTGGGTTACGTGATACCAGTAGCAGATTGATCTGGATTATCCTGACCTGACCTGGAGTAGTTAAAAGGAGTTACTTCCCGCAACAGTACTTTGAGAAAACCAGGCATGACATTTTGGAAGTGCATTAGGAAAAACACTGCATCTAACAAAATACAGGAGTCTAAGGTGAGTGTAGGTTTTGTAGTTGGATTAAGTAGTTAGTTACTGAGCTCACGCTGCATTAGAGTATAAACAGAACACAAACAAACATAAGTCAACTTACGGGTGAGTCAACACCGCGCCAGAGGTTCAGACAGAACAAAAACGTACATAAAAAACATAAAGTAACTTACGGGTGAGCGAACACCGCGCCAGAGGTTCAGACAGAACACAGACATATATAAAGTAGATTACAGGTGAGCTAATACAGTAACTAAGGCACCTCCAACTATTTAAAAAAAAAAAAAAAAAAAATTACTATAGGCATGACTGATTTAAGATATAATCGATGACATGAAGAACACTCCTTCCAGCCTTTGCTTAGAAAGCAAATCCTGCAAGGCAGCAGATTTAACCCATGAACATGAACATCCTGCTACTGGTAACATTTAACCCAGTGCAACCTGTTCCATGAACAGGTTGCACTGGGTTAAATGTTACCAGTAGCAGGATGATCATGAAGACCATACTCCTGACCTGACACTATGGGGATGTTTGGGGAAGTACCTCTAAAAGTAAGTTACGAAACCTTTACCATCGTCAGAAACACGCAATGCGTTTAATATGTTTCGAAAATCGTTTTTCTCATTCAAATATTTTATTTAAAAACGTTAAAGCATTTAACGTTTACGAACTCAATGTCTATAATATTTTATGCTTAATGTTTCGTTGTAAAAGTGAACAACCATTGTCCAATTTCAAAGATCTTTTTATTTATAAAGCTATAAACAAATATGCTTTACGAAATAATAATTTATTAATTGAACCCTTTTGTCAAACAAAATTTAATTTAAATCAATTTTGCATAAACTTGGTATCTGAAAGATCTTCTTTCAGATACCAAGTTTATATATTGTTATGTTGTTATATTACGATTATTAGTTGTAAAATGAAAAAAAAAAAAAAAAAAAAAAAAAGTACTTTAGAAGAAAAAGACAAAAAAATATTTAAGGTGGTAGGCCTATGAAAAATAAAGATTTTTGATCAAAAATTGAAAAATTAGGTAATATATTGTAATTGTGTAAAAATATATCCTCCATCTGCTGGTGACCTAAACAAGTCGTTTAGGTTTGATAAAATCAAAAGGATTTAAAATAATATATTTTGTTAGCTAGTTTGTTTATTTACCTTAGCAACGCCATAGCAACGAAAAATTGAGACCTTGTTTTACTCAAATTAAATGGCCAAAATGACAAATCTTGTAAAGGTTATTTTTCCAATGTAATATTGATCTAGATGATCTAACATAAGTAAAAAGAAGCTACTAAATATTTTTTTTATTTATTTAATATATTTAGCTCGTTTAAATGCTAGTTAAAATCGCAATAAAAATAACAATTAAGAGAGTTCAGATTCTGCAAAACTACTATTTACAAACATCCATTTTCTTTCATTCGTTTCACAACAAGCTTCTTGAATGCCTTCTTGTCTAGCAACTTCGATTCATTCGGTAATTTATTGTATAATTTTATGCCGTTGCAAACGATTGACTTTTGACCACTTTTCTTGTTTTGAATTTTTAAGTGATACTTTGCTGCATTTCTTGTGCAATAATTATGCATTTCACTGTTTTTTTTACAAAATTCTTGAAAGGCATCCATTTTCTGTAATTGAATTGTATTGTGTATAAATGTCAATACTTTCACTTGAATATTTTCTTTACAGATAGCCAGTCTAATCGAACCATCATGTCTTTGCTATGTGTGAACTAGTCACATTTCAAGATCGTTCTCACAGCTTTGTTTTGTAACTTCTGAAGTATTTTTATATCATTTATACTTGCACCTAAGAATAATGAAGCACAATATTGGAAATGAGGTGCAATAATTGCATTAAAAATTAACATTTTTGTCCACCTAGTCAGATATTTAGCGACTCTGGTAAAATACCCAGTTATCTTAGCAATTTTATCTGCAATATATTTAATGTGTTCAGAAAAATTCAACATATTGTCAATTTTAATACCCAGGTATTTGACACATTCACTAAATTTACCGTGATACTCATGTACTTCACTTTGGAGCTTGTAATCAGCATACCTATCGACTTACTTGCATTCAGTTTCAGTCTATTTCCACTAAACCAGGTAGCAACTACTTCCAAGTCTAAATTTAATTTCATCATAGATTCTTCGTAATTATTACCTTGAACGCAAACTAATGTGTCAAAGAGGTTGATGTTTACATATCTGGTACAACTGTTAATATCATTCATGTATATTATGAATAACAGGGGTCCTTGTACTGACCCCTAAGGCACACCAACGTCACAGAGTAGTTCCAATGATAACTGATCGCCAATTCTTACTCTTTGAGTTCTTCCTGTTAAGTAATTTTTAATCCATTGTAGAACAACGCCTCCCACTTTATAAACACTTTGATTTTTCAAACAATACTTCCCTATTGATGGTTTCAAATGCTCTCTTAAAGTCTAACAGGACTGTGATGATTATAAATCAAAATAATCTCAATACCAATAGTGAATAATAAAACAAGAAGATGATTATGTTTTATTTGTTAATTTCTTTATACTTAAGAGTGTATTTCAACAATTGTTAGTATGTCCTAAATGTGACCATATAAAATAACTCTCAGTGATAACAGATAGAAAAGAAAAAAAAAAGGATTTTCCCATAATTTAGAACTTTTATGTGAGTCATGTGAATGGTATAAATTGTAATTGTAAAGGATGTTCAATGTGGAAAAAACAT